AGCTAACCCGTGCCAAATTCTCTTTAACTCTGTTTTGCAGTGGAAGATTGATGACAAGCCAGTAAAAATTGACAAATGGGATGGTTCAGCAGTGAAAAATTCTTTGGACGATTCTGCCAAAAAGGTATGTTCTGCGACGACGGATTTCTCCCTCTTGGGAAACACTCTGTTCTTGTCGGTTTTTACATTTAGTTTAAAAAAATCTGTAAACTTTTTTGGTTTGGTTGGGAAGTGCCCATAGCCACACTGGTTCTGTAGCATCTCTTGCAATTCCTGTGGCTAAAGCAGTGTTTGTGCTTAGAATATCAGCAATTACGATGTCTGGTGCAAACAGGAATTCTGCAGTTTCTGCTCAGTTTACTCATATAATCGAGATCGTTTTATCTAAATCCTTCCCAGAAGCAGTTTGTTGAATTTATGACAAGCACAACGTAAACTCGGCTGCATGTTTCTCCCACAGGTTCTCCTGGAGAAGTACAAGTACGTCGAAAACTTCCATTTGATCGACGGCCGCCTCATCATCTGCACAATCTCTTGTCTCTTTGCGATTGTAGCTTTGATTTGGGATTACCTGCACCCTTTTCCTGAATCCAAACCTGTCCTTGCCTTTTGTGTTGTATCATATCCTTTCCATGTGCTGTTTTGTTTATACCAAAAGGTTTTTTTTTTCCCTATAAAGCACAAGAAAACCCTTCTTTGTACTCCCATCCTCAGGCCTGTGGGAATTTTACTTCCGGTGATGTGGAGACCAGCTGATAATCAAGTGGTTCTCATGTGATGGCAAAATTCCTGCCTGTCTGGGTGTAACACACCTAAATTTGGGCGATGTGGGGCTCCAGCCTTCCCCTGCAGTGGTGTGGAAGCCCGGGCAGCAGTTCAGCTCACGTCAGAGGAGCTGGCGGCTGCTCTGCTCTCCAGGCTCCTGGGGCAGATTCCTCCCATCCCAGACGCCGACCGCACAGAGACTCCTCCGCTTAAGCACATTAATCTCAAACAGGAGATCAGCCCTTGAAAGCTTTGGGGGTTTGTTTTGTGTGTTGGTTATTTTTTTTTTTTTAATTCTACTTCTAGCCTGGTTACAAACACATCTGCTCTTTCCTAATATGACGGGTTAGGTACCAAGAGTGAAGAGTAAACTGGAGGTAATTCTTGCCAGCGCCTCCGCTGAAGAGCAGCAGGCGCTGCCTATAGGAGGGCAGCGCTATAAATCAGAGTTTTAGAAATCTAAACATTTGTTTAGATGTCAACTCCCTTTAGAAGTCAGCTGTTACATTTCCAGTATTACAGCACAGCTGGGGACTGTTTTTTTCCCTGTTTGGGCTCAGAGGGTCAGCGTGGCACTGATTTCTCTACACCTGTAGAGGTTTTAAAACAGAAATGTGTGTGACATGAGCGGCTGACGGGCCCGTTTTCAATGGTACCACTGAGCTAGTGGGAACTGGTACCCTGGAAATTTATTACTGGGCTGGGAATCACCGTACCACTAACGGCTGCGTGATCATGGGCGAGTTATTTCATCGTTCTTCTGGTTGGTTTTCAGCACAAACACCGAGATAATTCATCTTGCAGCACTTAAAATTCTTTAATTCCAAAACCGAGAAGGATTAATGCTTAGGAGGAATGCACAGCAATTAATTCTGTGACTCGTTTGGTCTCACTTTTTCCCACTGTCTCCCAACAGATGTTTCTCCAAAAATTTTAACAAAGTAATTGAAAACAGTATTTTGTTGTTTTGATATCCGCTTTACTTCATGGTTTCGCGAACGAAGCATTTTATGTGGCTGGAGAAATCCCTTTCAGGAAAGCACGTAGGGAGTTGTCGCTTTCCCCTCCACTTCCAGGCATCTTGGCAAAAATTTAAGAAACTGTCCCGATTATTATTTAATTTCTCATGCTAATGAGGCATCAACCAAACATCCTGCTTGGAACAGTGGTTAAACCAACAGTGTCTGTGGGAATCCAAGCGATTTCTGCCTAATTTCTACTTCTAATTGCAACTTCGTAGTTTCCTTAACTCTTTTTGCACATATTTTGTGATGATGGGAATCCTGACTATCTATACCTCATACAAAGAAAAGAGTATTTTCCTCGTAGCTCACAGAAAAGACCCCGCGGGGATGGACCCTGACGACGTTTGGCAGCTCTCCTCCAGCCTCAAACGGTATCGTTTGCTCCTGCAGCCGGGGCTTAGCGAGGGGGAGAGGTACCAGTTTGCCTGTGGTGCGTGTGCCTGTACGGGCAAAAAAAAAAAACCCCAAAACTAAACCAAACAAACAAACAACAAAAATAAAACAAACCTGCATTTCTGAAAACTCCTAAACAAAATGGGGGAAAATACTGGTGTCTCTTCAATATGGATGACTCTGCGCCGGGGAGGTGAGCTTTCTGCAAAGGATTAGCTCCTGGGCCGTGATCTTTGCAGCTTCCCAGGCAACTCGTGATTAATAATCACCACAGAATGTTATTGCTCAGAAGTAACAGCGACCTGGGACAGGCTCGCCTGTCTCATGTGCACTGTTTCCATCCGTATCTCCCTGTAGGATCACCCTAAATATTTTCCTTTATTTTTCTACTTACAAATCTGTTGTGCTCCGTCAAAATCCATGTCCCAGTCTAGAAATGGGAGCGGAGCCAAGGGCTTATCTGCTGCAAATGTTCATGTTCTCGCTTCTCTTTAAATGGGGGTAAAAAAAAAAAAAAAAAAAATTAATCGGGTATAAAAATCTTTTAATTGAGTTATGATTAAGGCCTGCACCTTGTAGCTGGTAGCATCCATGGGGGGGCTTATTGTGTGGGGGACCTCCACTCCTGAGGACTTTCCTCTTCAAGATGAGGATTTCCTCATCAGCTTCTCGTTGGCATCTCAGCTGAGCCAGACTGAAATCCCGCTCTGAAATCTCTCTGCAGGTTTGACGACAAATACACCCTGAAGCTGACTTTCATCAGCGGGAAAACCAAACAGCAGAGGGAGGCCGAGTTCACCAAATCCATCGCGAAATTCTTCGATACCAACGGGACGTTAGTCATGGAGGCCTACGAGCCGGAGGTGTCCAAGCTGCACGATAGTCTGGCTCTGGAGAGGAAAATAAAATGATTTCTGACACCACCTGCCTCCTGGGAACGTGCTGAATTAACACCAATAAACTAAAATAGCTGAGAAAGTGAATCGTTGCCTCTGTTTTTGTCCTGAAATCCTGTTCCATTTTGGATGAGAGGGATTTTTAATCTTGGAGCCAAGATTTTTTTTTTTTTTCTTTAACTTTTGGGACATTTGCCTGCCTTTTGGGTTCTGCTACCCTGGAGGAGGATTTGCCTGTGGGGACACTTGTCTGTGCCACTCCCTTGGCTACCTCTGCTTTACTTATTTTTTTTTTTTTTTTTTCCTGGCAGTGCTTTATCAAACAGCTCCATGTGTCCCAGAGAGGGGGAAGCCCGGGGGGAGGTTGTTACCATTTGCATTTCACTACTGTCACCTTCCCCTTTTTGTGTTAGGAATTCAGGACAAAATCCTTCTGTAAAACAACTGTCCCCTCACAAACAAGACTTCTTTATTTTTTTATTTATCTAATTGGGGGTAGAGGATGGTTTTATATAAAAGTCTTATGGGGGGGGGGGGGGGGGAGTCTATATACTACTTATGGATGTTTGTTTGCCCGTGATGTTTATCTACGAGGTGTTAAAAATTAAAGGGAAGGGATTTTCTGAGCTGTGACTGTCGCTGTGTCCCGCTGCCTGTTTCCTTAGTGTCTGGTCGGGCCCTTCTGTAAAACGGCATTTAAAAAAAAATAATAATTTTGGGGGTTTTTTGTTGGGTTTTGGTTTGTGTTTTTTTTTTTTTTGTTGTTGTTTGTTTGGTTGGTTGGTTTTTTTTTTTAATAAAAGGGAAGAACGGACGTTAAACGTGTTCTGGAGTATCTCTGGGGCGTTTCGCGGCTCGGTGAAAGAGGGGGGGGCGGGGGGGGGGGGGGGTGTTCCCCGTTAAATCGCTTCCCCCCCCCGCCCCGGGGGCCGGGCCGGAGCTGGCAGGAAGGGGCGGAGCGGGGCGGCCCCTGCGCGGCGGCGGAGCGGGGGGTGCGCGGGGCCGGGGGGGGACAGGGGGCGTCCGAGGGGGTGCGGGGGGAATGGGAGGGGGCAGGGCTGTAAGGGGAGTTGGGATGTGGGGGTGCGGAGGGGGGGGGTTATTGGTGTTTGACGGGGGACACGCCGTGGAGGCTGCGTGGGTGTCGCAGCGGTGAGGAGTGAAGCGGAGTGGGGGGGGGGGGATCGGGTATGGGGGTGCACGGGGGGATGGATGGGTGCATGGGGGGGTGGGGGGGAGCGGGAGGGAGGGGGGTGCATGGGGGGAGTGGGGGTGCGGGGGGAATGGGGGGATGCATGGGGAATGGGGGGTGCGGGGGGAATGGGGGGGTGCAGAGGGGCATTGAGGGTGCGTGGGGAATGGGGGGTGCGTGGGGAATTGGAGGGTTTATGGGGGGATGATTGGGGGGTGCATGGAGAATGGGGGGGTGCATGGGGACTGGGGGGGTGCAGGGGGGCATTAAGGGTGCATGGAGGGGTTGGGGGGTGCATGAGGGGATTGGGTTCTGGGGGTGCGTGGGGAACGGGGGGCTGTGTGGAGAATGGGGGGGTGCATGGGGGGGTTGGGTGCATGGAGAATGAGGGGCTGAACGGGGAATAATGGGCTGCAGGGGGGCATTGGGGGTGCATGGGGGGATTGGGGATGTGTGGGAAATGGGGGGGTGCATGGGGGGATCAGGTTCTGGGGGTGCGTGGGGAATGGGGGCTGTGTGGAGAATGGGGGGTGCATGGGGGAGTTGGGGGGTGCATGGGGAATAGGGGGCTGCAGGGGGGCACTGGGGGTGCATGGGAGGGTTGGGGGTTCATGGGCACAAGGACGTTGGGCTGGGGACCTGGGGGTGCTGAATGGTTTGGAGGGGGCTGGGGGGTGCAGAGCCCCTGGGGACAGCCCTGAGAGTGGGGGGGGGGGGGGGGAGGGGGGATGTAGGGGAACCCCTGCAGTACAGGGGGCCAGGCAGAACAGTGGGGTGCAACCCCACCGAGGGGCTCCACTCTCACACCCCCCCACCCTCCCCCGCCACACTCAGGCCCCAGCGGGACCCTCGGGGAGGCCACAATGTCCCAGGCCACCACCTGCCCCAAGGTGAGGCTCATCCCTAGCCCCCCATATTGGGGAGGGGGCCCACGAGTGTCACCCCTGCCCCCCCCCCCCCCCGTGGTCTTTTGCCAGCATTTAACCCTTTATCATTTGACCTTCCCACCCTGCCAGCAGCAGGGGGGGGATGGGGAGAGCCCCCCACTGCCGGCATCCCCGCTCGTCTTCCCGCGGGAGACGCTGTTTCGGCAGGCGAGCGGGGTCACCTACCGCATCCCGGCTTTGCTCTACGTCCCCCCCGCCGCCACCTTCCTGGCCTTTGCTGAAAAACGCTCCTCGCCCAGGGATGAGGACGCCAAGTACCTGGTGCTGCGCCGGGGCCGCCGGCATGGCACCTCGGTTGAGGTAAAAAAAAACCAAAAAACCAACCAACCAACCAAAAAAAAACCAACCAAACCCCGCACAACCTGTAGGGCTGTGGGAATAAGCTGCGACCTCCGTCGTGGTGGGCTCGCCGTGGGGAGCGACGCCGAGTGGTTTCGGGGTACAGCCCCCCCCCCCCCCCCCCCCCCCGCGCGTCACGCGGCTGAGCCCTCTTTAATCCGCCAGTGGGGTCCCGTGGAGGAGCTGTCGGCGTTGGTGCTGCCCGGCCGCCGCACCATGAACCCCTGTCCCCTCTACGAGGCGAGGAGCGGCACCGTCTTCCTCTTCTGCATCTGCGTCGAGCGGGGCAAGACGGAGCGCCGCCAGATCTGGAGGGGGTGCAGCGCCGTGCGCCTCTGCTGCGCCACCAGCCCCGACGGCGGCCGCAGCTGGAGCCCGCTGCGGGACGTGACGGACGAAGCCGTCGGCGCCGACCTGTCCCGTTGGGCCACCTTCGCCGTGGGGCCGGGACACGGGGTGCAGCTGGATTCGGGGCGTTTGGTCGTGCCGGCGTACGCCTACTACGTGCACGGGTGTTTGTGCGGGGTCGTGCCGCTGCCTTGCAACACCCGGCAGCACGCCCTCGTCTTCTACAGCGACGACGGCGGGCGCAGCTGGCACAAGGGCGCCTTGGTCACCGGCGGGCAGACGGGCGAGTGCCAGGTAGCCGAAATCGGGGGGAGCGATGCCCACCGGCCCTTGCTCTACTGCAACGCCCGAGCGCCGCGGGGTTGCCGGGCCGTGGCGTTCAGCGCCGACCGCGGGCTGCGGTTCGAGCGGTCGGCGCCGTGCGAGGCGCTGGGCGAGCCGCCGCGGGGCTGCCAGGGCAGCGTGGTGAGCTTCGCCGCCGCCACCGGGGATGCCCCCACTTGGTTACTCTACTCCCACCCCACCAACCGGCACCGCCGGCGCGATTTGGGGATTTACCTCAACCCCTCGCCGCGGGATGGGGCGGGTTGGCGGCGCCCGTGGGTGCTGCACCCGGGGCCGGCCGGTTATTCCGACCTGGCCGTCTGCCCCGGCGGCGTTTTCGGCTGCTTGTTCGAGTGCGGCGTCACCAGCGCCTGCGAGGAAATCGCCTTCTGCCTCTTCACCCTGGACACCTCCACCTGCGGCGAGCAGAACCCCAAATCTTCCTAAAACAGACTCATTTTACTGGGTGGGGGATCACTCCCGGAACGCTGGGAGCTCACCAGGACATTCTGGATGCGCCGGAGGCTCGGCATCGCATAGCTTTTATTTAATTAACGCTTGGCTTTTTAATCACCCGTCGGATAGATGTTGTTGGTAACCTGGGGGAGGATGACGACATGGCACCCAAAATGCTGCTGCTTCACCAAAAATCGGTATTTTTCCCCTGGCAGCAGCAAAAATGCAGAGGTGCCATTGAGAGCAGCCGGTCCCCTGGAGCGAAAATACCCCAAAATGTTTTTTAGTTAAAAATATCTGTGATTCCTCTGTGTGTGTGTGTCTCCGCATATGGCAGAGAGAGAAGTCCCCTTATTTAACATTTTTTTTATCCCGTTCTCTTCACTTTGCTGGTTCAGGCTGAGTTTCACCCCCTATTCCCGTGGGAAAAAGCACTCAGATCTTGAGGGGGGGGGGGTTATTCTGCTCCATAAGGGACAGGTTGTGGCATCCTGACAGTGATGGCACCTTCACATCCCCGCGCTGCTGCCAAATCCTCCCTCCCCAGACGGGTGAAATCCACTCAATATTGGGCAAATCCCAAGGGAGGCGACTCTGCTGGGGCAGGATGCGGGATGGCCCTGAGCATCGTCGCCTCCCAGTCCATCCCGCCGCTACATTTTGGGCACACAGCACCTGGAAGAGAAGACACCCACCCCCCCCCGGCAGAGGTTATGAGGTTACAGAGGGGTTTTGGGGGGTTGGGTTTTTTATTGGGGGGGGTTCCCAGCATCCCCATCTTACCGGTAGCGCCGGGGACAACCGAAATGTCCCCGTTGGAGCTCGTGGGCGAGGCAGACGCGGCGGCAGCGGCCGGTGTGCTGGGCGCAAGGGCGGGCGCTGGTGGGGACGGCGTCGGTGAGGGGGTCCCGGGGGACGGTGGCGTCGGTGGGGTGCCCGGGGAGGGTGGTGGCAAGGAGCAGGGCCAGGAGCAGGGCCAGGAGCGGGATGGGCATGGTGTGGGGCCACCGGTGTCACTTGGGGTTGGATTTAATGGGGTTCGGCAGCGGGGAGGTGGGGTTTGGAGGAGGAGGAGGGTGCTGCTGGATGGGGTTTAGCGACGGGCGACGGCTCAGCCTGCTCCGGCGGGGACCCAGGGGACAGGGAGGGCACCCGTGGGGGGGTGGGGGGGTGGTGTGAGGGAAGTACTGGGGTTTGGGGGGGTGTTTTTGACTTCTTGGGGTGACTGGTGGTGGAAGGGGGAAGGAGAAGGGGGAGAGATGGAGGGTTATGGGACATGGCTGAATTATGGGGGTGCAGGACATGGAGGAGTGATGGGGATATGGGGTGTGGAGCGGGATGGAGACGTGGGACATGGAGTGGGGTGGGGATGTGGGACACGGAGTGGGATGGGGATGGGGGACATGGGGTGGGATGGGGATGTGGAGTGGGATGGGGACGTGGGACACAGTGGGGTGGGGATGTGGGACACGGAGTGGGATGGGGATGGGGGACATGGGGTGGGATGGGGATGTGGGACATGGGGTGGGATGGGGATGGGGGACACAGAGTGGGATGGGAATGGGGGACACGGAGTGGGATGGGGGTGGGGGACACGGCTGAGCAATGGAATGTGGCACCCAGCCCCTGGAGCAGAGGATCTCAGAGCGATGCTCACCCCAAGCCCTGCACCCACCATGCCCTCGCACCCATCATGTCCTCGCACCCGCAGCCGCCCTGGGAGAAATCCACATTTCCCAAATTCTCTCAGCCTTTCCTTTAGGAATTCAACCAGTTCCGGCCCATTTTCCCCAGGAGGCTTCTGGGGGGTGAGGGGCTGCAGGTGCTCAGCTGTGGGGGGGTATTTTGGGGTGCCATCGCAGTGCTGTCCCCGCAGATGGGGCACCTCAGCACCCCCTGATAAGGTTTTTCTGCAAAAAAAAAAAAAAGTTTTTTTTCCAGGGTGAGAAAGTGTCCACAGTGTTGGTGGGAACTCAGCAGAATGTCCCTGACCCACCGCCTACACCCCACTGGGACAGAATGGGATGGGGACAGGCAGGAGGGGGACAGCATGGAATTGGGGACAGGGAGGCTGGGGACAGGATGGGACAAGGACAAGCAGGATGAGGCCAGGGCAGGATGGGGCCAGGGCGGAATGGGGACAAGGAGGATGGCAACTGGCAGGATGAGTACAGAGCAGTTTGGGGACAGACAGGATGGGGCCAGAACAGGACAGAGACAGGCAGGATGAGGCCAAGACGGGATGAGGACAGTCAAGAGGGTGACAGGATGGGATGGGGACAGGGGCCAAAATGGGGACAGACAGGATGGGGACAGGATGGGATGGGGACAGGGTGGGATGGCAGGGGCAGAGTGGGGACAAGGAGGATGGGGACAGAGAAGATGGGGACAGGATGGGATGGAGAGGGTGGGGTGGGGACAGGATGGGATGGAGGGTGCAGAGTGAGGACAATGAGGTTGGGGACAGGATGGGATGGGGACAGAGAAGATGGGGATAGGGAGGATGGGGACAGGATGGGATGGGGGGTGGGCAGAGCGGGGACAAGGAGGATGGGGACAGGATGGGATGGGGACAGGGAGGCTGGGGACAGAGGGGACAGGGACAGGCGGGATGAATCTGGGGCAGGATGGGAACAGCCAAGAAGGGAACGGGCAGGATGGGGACCAGCACCCCCCCGCCTCCCTCCAGCCAGCGTGGCGGAGACCGGGCACCCCCCAAACCCCTCCCCACCCCCCCCCCCACCCCCCCCCCACCCCAAAGGCGGGGCCTCCCCGCCCCTCCCCGCTCCGCCCTCCTCCCTCTCCCCGCGGCGGCGGCTGGATGGGGGCACTGGGGGCGCTGGGAGCGCTGGGGCTGGGGGTCCTGCTGGCGCTGCTGCCCCCCCCCGCCCCGGCTGACACCTACACGGCCATGCTGAGCATCCGGAGGGTGCTGGGGGCCGAGGGCCGCCTGCTCCGCCGGCTCCGAGCCTACCTGCGGGAGGAGAGCGGCCGCCTCCGCCGCCTCGCCAGGTACCGGATCCCCCCACCCGCGTCGCGGTCACGCGTGGGGGCTCCCCGCTCCGCTCCTTCGCCTCTAAGCACCCATAGCCCCGCCTCAAAGGTGGGTGCTGCCCTGGAAGGGAGGGGTGGGGTGGGTTAAGCCAGCCCGCACACACCTCCCCCCATCTCCACCCCCCCCCCCCAGCACCCAATTTTTGGGGATGCCTCTAAATAGTTTAGGGTACCGTGGGTGGGTGGGGAGCACAGCTCGGGCACTGCCTACGCCATGTTGCAAGGAGGGGACGTGGCCCCTCCAACCCTGGGCTGGGGACCTGGGTGGTAGGTCACAGCACCACCCCCCATGGGGGGCCATCCCCACATACCCACCAGGGACGGGGCCCACCACCCCGGCTGGGGTTACCCCACCCCTGGTTTGGCCAAAAAGTGACCACTATGGAGTGGGGGCTAGACTCTGTACCCCACCCCGGGGTGTCAGCATCCAGGAGCATTGCTCAGCATGTCACCCGGTGGGTGCCTTGCAGGTTTTACGAGAAGGTCCAGGCGCTGCACCAAGACCCCAAGGCTTCGGTGGACAACCCCTTGTTGGCCTTCAGCCTCATCAAGCGTCTTCACTCCGACTGGCCCAACGTCATCTACAGTGACGAGGCCACCGAGAACACCCAGGGTATGGTGGTGGTGGTGTGTGTGTGTGGGGGGATGCTTATCATTGTGTCCCTTTTGTCACCTGGGAAGAGCCAGGAGGCGGCAGGGAGTGGATGGAGGAGCAGGAGAACGGGCGGAGGAGCAGAAAGAAGGATGGAGAAGCAGGGAAATGGGTGGAGGAGAAGAAGAATGGGTGGAGAAGAATGGGTGGAGGAGAAGAAGGAAGGATGGAGAAGCAGGAGGATGGATGAAGGAGCAAGGAAATGAGTGGAGGAGGAGAAGAACGGGTGGAGGAGCAGGAGAATGGATGGAGGAGCAGAAGGAAGGATGGAGAAGCAGGGAAATGGGTGGAGGAGCAGGAGAATGGGTGAAGGAGCTGAGGAATGGGTGGAGGAACAGGGGAATGGGTGGAGGAGCAGAAGGATGGATGGAGGAGCAGGAGAATGGACGGAGGAGCAGGAGAACAGATAGAGGAGCCAGGGAATGGATGGAGGAGCAGGAGAATAGGCGGAGGAACCACATGTGGGATCTCCAGGGATAAAGAAGGGCTGATAAGGGTGAGTGCACCCCAAAAGCTCATTAATCTCCCTCCGTGCACCCCATTGCCCACCCTCAGCACTCCATGATGGCTTCAAGGAGGTGGAGCAGGAGCTGCCTGGAGCCGAGGACCTGGCTGGGGCTGCCCGGGCACTGATGCGGCTGCAGGACGTCTACGCACTCAGTGTCAAGGGCATGGCCAACGGCATCTTCCAGCGAGCCGGCACCGGCCGACCACCCCTCTACAGCCCCAGCCGGCGCATCTCCCTCTCAGCCGACGATTGCTTCCACGTGGGCAAGGTGAGGGTGAGCCCCGTCAGCCCCCCCCAAAGCTTTTCCAGCCTGGGATGTTGCTTCCGTAGGGATAGATGTTGGGTTTTCTTCCCACGCGGACGCGGAGGGGCCCCTCTGACTCAGCCCACAGGCATTTGCCTGCCTGCCATCGCCTCTCGGCTCTCACCCAAATAATGGGGCTTCTCGCTGTTTCGGGGCTTGGGGAAGGGAAAAGCTGAGTTAGAGGCATGGGGGGACCTCCCAGCCCAGTATCCTGGTTGGGTACGGGGTCAGCCCCCGCCTGGGGATCAAAACAGGTCCAAAAGTCCATGGGAGAGGATTTGGATGCTTTGATAGATTTTGTTCAGGGCAGAGTCCTCTGAGTGACACTGCAGAGCTGGGAGGGAGTGGTGGAGAGTGGGATGGGATGGAACAGGGTGGGGTGGGGTGGGATGGAGGTGGAGGTGCAGATGGAGATGAGGATGAAAATGGAAATGGAAATAGGGATGGAGCAGGATGGATGGGGATGGGACAGAAAAGAAAGAGATGGGACAGGATGGGGATGGCGTGGGAGGGAACAGGGATGAGGATGGGAATAGGAAAGTGATGGGATGTGATGGGACAGGATGGATGGGAATTGCAATGGGATGGGATGAGGTGGCAGGGGGATGGGATGTGATGGGAGAGGACAAGGTGAGACAGGGAAGGGACGGGATAGGAGGGGATGGGGTTGGGATTGGGATGAAGACAGTGGTGGGGATAGGGTGGGATGAGAAGGGGATGGGTCAGGAGGGATGAGCATGGGGTGGGGATGTGGTGGGACGGGATGGTACGGGAGGAGATGGGATGAGGATGGGATGGGGATGGGAAGGGGATGGGATGGGGATGGGAAGGGGATGGGATGGGGGTGGGATGGGGATGGGATGGGATGGGAAGGGATGCAGGCCAGGCTGGCCCATCCAGTGGGTCCAGGCGACGCGGTGCCGCGCAGGTGGCCTACGACACAGGTGACTACTACCACTCCATCGCATGGCTGGAGGAGGCCGTCGGCCTCTTCCGCCTCTCCTATGGCAGCTGGAACCCAGAGGACAGGAGCAGCCTGGAGGATGCTCTGGACCATCTCGCCTTCTCTTACTTCATGGTACGGCCACAAGTCCTGTCCCCATCCCCGCGGTGCCCAGCAGAGCTGAACCGTGGGCAGGGGGATGCTCATGGGCACCCCACTCCCCTCATCCAGGCTGGAAACATCTCTCATGCCTTGAGCCTCTCCAAGGAGTTTCTCCACTACGGTACGTGGGGCAACCTCTGATGTGGCAGGAGGTGGGGAGAGGTTTTGGGGTGTCCCCATCACCTCTGCACGGTGACCAGCCTCCTTCAATCCATGTCCTTCTCTCACATGGGGTAATTCACCAGGGACTGATGCCAGGGAAAGGGAGGGTGATGGGGACACAGCATTTCGGGTGACACCACCTCTCCGGCAGACCCCAGTAACCGAAGGGTGACGAGGAACGTGGCCAAGTACAAGAAGCTGCTGGAGATGGGGCCAGTGG